AAAGCAAGTTTTTTAAAATAATTGTTTGAAATTAGCTTCTAAAATCACACGAACAGGTCTTTCAAACTATGAGAGCTAATGCACCATTAGCTCCTTGCAAATAAAATAGAAAAAATACAAATAATCATAAGATAATAAGAATAGTAATAATAATAATAAAATAGTAACGATGAATCATAATGATAATAATTAGAAAATAAAGACCTCGGTAGGAAATCAAATATGCTGAGTGCGCGTAAGACTGCACTCTTTTCCACCCGCGACGCTCCACACGAACGCGCTTTAATCAAGCGCCGTTTCCAATAACCGTTACCACGTTTCACATTTTACGATGCACTGTGCACGGTATATAAGTTTGGTCTGATGTCGGTCAACACGGTCGGTGTTATGACACACAGTGCACTGCTCTCGCACTCAGTTGTTCCAAAAATCGTTCATTTTACGGACCCCATTACTTTCCTGAAGCGTGTCGGTAAGGTTCTCCTTCTCCCTTTTAATCAGAGAAAAACAACAAAACGAGGGACATTATGGGATGTATTTTGCGCCAATAGCAAGGATAACTTTCTGCCTCTCCATCTCTCAACGGAGAAGCATGTAAAACAACAAAGTTTGATCTTCTAGAGTGATCGTCCAGTCTGATTGGTTTATTGCGAATTTTTTTAGAACTTCTGGATAAATTACCCGGTGTCTCAGTACCTAAAACGACGAAAATTGAGCTTCTTCTGTTTTGGGTGTTCATCTGGCATTGCAGATCCGAGAATCCTTCGGCTGCAACGCAGAATTATCCACATTTAATTTCGACGGCTTAAGCTGTTATTATTTTTTTTAATTCAGACGGAGAGATTATTCTTGTCTTAATCTAGACTATTCTCCCACTTTCTCTGATGGAAACCATTGTTTCAAACGTAGAAATAGAAAGATTTTCGAAATCGTCAACTTAGCATGTTGTCAACATTCATTTAAAAAGGCACCTTTACTTTCATATTGCATGTAATCTGTATGTGATCCTTGGAAAAAAATTCACGAACGATGTCAACCTAGAAATGGCCAGCTCCTTAGCTGAACGTTCTTTCTCAAATGAAGGTTATTAAGGGGGGATGTACAAGTATTGCGCATGCCTTTCAAAAATTAGTCCATATTTCCTTTTTCCCTGAAGGTTTCACTCTCAGATGTGTGCGCATTGGCAGCTTATACGTGGCTTGCTCAAAAGCCTCAAAGGCTTGAGCCTCATTGTCACAATTGAATTCAAACACAACTTTTCCTGCCATAATATTTGCCACATAATGATTGACTTTGCCTTTTCCTTTGCCCATTTTACTCCCTAATGGTTTTCTGGTCACTGGTATGTCTGCTGTCACCATGTACATTTCCTTTGTTTTTGTGGCACGGACGATGGCCAGCCCAGCTGACTCCAGTGCGCAGTCTTTCACCAGTGCAGGCTGCTTGGCGTAGATTCCATAATGGTATCGGTCCATGTATTTGTAACGTAGAGGAAGAGGTGTTTTTGTAGCACGATGACAACAAGGAAACACATTTGGAACCTACAAGAGCAATCAATGGCAGGCAAAAAATAATTTGTTTTAATAAAATAATTCATGTTTGTTTATTTGTACCCCTTCCATAAAATCTGAATTACAGGTATAGTCAGCAAATTGTATACATGGAAATAAGCTTACAAAAATTAATGCAATAACAAATGATGGATTTTTATACATTTTGTGTTAAATAAGTGGCAAACTTATTTGTTACAAACTTTCCAAAATGGTCAGTTTTTGTGCTTTTCACAGAACTAGTAGAAGAAGACCTGAGTTTGTACTTGTTACTTGGTTGAGTGATTGACTTTTGACAATATTGAAAACAGGGTTTGGTGTCAGGGTACATATAAGCTTCTTACAAGCTTCTTCGCACCTATCCACAAGCATGGCAATCCGAGACGCAGCTAGTGCATCTACATATGCAAGGTTTGGAAAAACAATGGTAAGTGCACATTTCTGGACCTCTTCTAGGGCCTGCGACAAGTACTGTGAAAGATTGGCGAATGTAGGTGTCGCATATTCCAGAAGAGGCCTAATGAGTGTGCAGTACACCCTGACAATGTCAGCTTGGAACACTCCACAGCGCTTGAGCGTTCTGAAGGCATATAGTCTGTGGTTGGCCCTCTGAACTACATAGTCCGTGTGCTCCCCCCATGTCATAGACATGTATGGATAAAATACAAAACCCTGGTCATGATTTGCTAAAACACCCCACTCCTCTGTCAACGTTGGAGTTTTTAAAGGCAGTCCAATTTTCCCATTTCCACTTTTGACCAAGGGGAACTGGGAAATGTTTCAGTAATTGTGGCAACAACTGTAAGCAGCAAACTTTCCCTACTTATCGAGATATGGCTATTTTTGCCACACATAGTGAAGAGTTTTTCCATCAATCCAGTGAGGATTTGGATTTTCCCATGTACTCCCAAGTATAATCCTCAAAGCTGAGAGGTTAGCATTTAGTGTTTAATCAAGATTGTGAGAACCGTTAAAATTCTACTAAAATATGGCAAAACTTGGGTTCCTTGAGAGGCAATTCCAAACCAGTCCCATATTACAGTTAAGTTGCAATAATTGGCCAGTTTCTCCTTTAATAATAGGTGCATTGTGTTCTTTAATATTTCTTTTGGCATATTAAACAAATAATAAGTGAAAGCATATTACTTTTAGAATTAAAACCCGAACAAGTGGAAAATAGATCAGAACAGTAACTAGATATGTACAGTGTCTAATAGTACACATGAATATATTGTCTTTCAAAGTTATTAGGGAAATAAAAAGCAAACACATCCAAAATATCTTGAGCGAAGAAAAAAATTGAACCAAAACAATTGTCTACACAGGGATTCTTCTCATTTCATACAAAGACATCAATCTTAAATTTTAATAATGAGAATGTCTCATGCAGCTGTGAAATTGACCTGTCATTTTTCCTTTTTTTGGGGTCAGTCACGTGATTCAAACGTTCACTTAAAGACTTTGTGAAAATAATAACATGTTCTCCTCATAAATTTTACCTGCAATTTTGTCAGAAGAGTGAGGTTGTTCTTCATACAGCCCACAAAAGGCTGAAATACCTGCAAAATTCAGAGCAACACATTTGAAATCTCATAGATTACCGTACAGATCTTCAGTTCCTAACTTCCAGTTCTAAATCCTGCTTATATCAATATACATATGATGCACGATCCTTCCAGTAGATAGCGCTATTTAAGCAATAGCAAAAATCAGACCTGAAAAAAATCAGGCCTGTACGGGATTCGAACCACTGACCTCTGCGATACTAGTGCAGTGCTCTACCAATTGAGCTAACAAGCCAACTGGGAGCAGGCCATTAAGTTGATTCGTAATAAACCCGTGAAAGTGATAAATGAGATACAATGAAATATATGAAGTTCATATATTTTGTACTGCGGTATTAGATACATATGATGCACGATCCTCGTAGTAGTAGTATTTTTTTCAGGTCTGATTTTCGCTATTGCTTAAATAGCGCTATCTACTGCGAGGATCGTGCATCATATGTATCTAATACCGCAGTACAAAATATATGAACTTCATATATTTCATTGTATCTCATTTATCACTTTCACGGGTTTATTACGAATCAACTTAATGGCCTGCTCCCAGTTGGCTTGTTAGCTCAATTGGTAGAGC